TTTTTATTCAAATCGTAGAAGTAGACTTAGAGACTATTTTAAAAAATGTGATGAATTTGGCCTTAGAGAAAGAAAGGTTCCAAAACCTTGTCCGGCTAGATGGAATTACATGTATGAAAGTTTAGTTGTTGCATATGAATATAAAACCCAATAAGCGCAACGTATAATGCTCGTGTAGGTGATGGTGATGATGATGATTNTGTCGTAATAGTAAAATATATAAGACATTCCCTTGAATATTTCTTTGCAATTTATTTTGTGTTTAAATTTGAAATTTGATATAGTATATATATTATATATCTAATACATACTATATACACTATATAAATTTATATAGCTATATATAAGCAATTTATAATAGTATATACATATATAGTTTACAAAAAAGTGCCTTAGATAAAAAAAAATAGCCTATATATATATGTGTGTGTGTGTATGTATATATATATATTACATAAGACAATATATAATTATATATACACATAATACACCCTTATATATACATACTATACATACTATATATACTATATATATTTATATAGCTATATATAAGCAATTTATACTAGTATATACATATATAGTTTACAAGAAAGTGCCTTAGATAAAAAAAAATTAAAAAAAAAGCCCGAAACGAAAAAAGTCCGTTAGGCCCGGGGGCCCGGCCCATTTAGCCCGGGACCATGTGGGCTTAGGACCACCGTGGGCCGGTTCCACACATTGGGACCGTTTGGCCCGGGACCGCCTCAGCCCGGCCCGCCTCAAGCCCAGACCCGTTTGGCCCGGTCCCGGACCACAATACAGCCTTAATCCTCGCTTGTGATCACAACACAAAGAGATTTTGATAATAGAAAAGGCTTATAGACACCAAGATCCCAAATCCCAACTTAATAAATGGTCTCTCCATGTGTTATGAATCCCTTTACAAAGAAAATCATGCATCAGATGCTCAATTTTCTCAACCACCCATTTAGGAAGAACCAAATACAATTAGTAAAGACAACAGTAGAAATGCATGACACAACTCTAGTTATAAAACCCCCTGAAGAGAATAAAGACCATTTTCAACTATCAAGCCTTTAAAAGATACCTTTCACCGTGGGATACCAAAGGTTATACAACAAGGGTTAGTGGACTTCCCCACAAAGACCATCTGAAAGAATGGAAAAGACCAACTCAAGATAGAGAGCCCAGCCATTGAACTAAGTCTTTTGATTTTGTAGTTACTCATATGATCCATGGCTGACACTCTCATCCATAATAAATTTCAACAGAGAGCCAATTTCTAACACACTAAGAAGGTTTAAAGGGTAAAAAAAAGTGTAACTCTTCAAACAGAGATGGCCATTATCTACTTCAAATGATAAAACATTAAGATCATGACTACCTAGACCAGTATTTGGCCACTGCACTGTTCATAGCTAGTAATAAGATAGACTAATACTCTCCCCCCTCTAACAACCCCATTATCCATCACAATTCTGGTTGTTGGTATATACAATTTTCATCATCCAATTGGTGCTACCTAACGCAGAAGGGGAAACTTTGGCCAAGTGGGCAGTCTAGCAAAATGAAAAAAGGGAGCTGATTAGTCTTTCGAGTGGCGTAATGCACATGGTACACCATTAGTTTTTTATCAGACATTTTTTTAAGTTAACCAATTAATCAAAGAATAACAAATACTAAGATCTTAGCAAAAATACGGACAAAGCTACACTTTTGGCCAAGTGGGTAGCTGAAAAAACACTAAAATAAAAAGCTTCTATTACCTTAGCAACGGTAGTTTCAATTCGCTCGTGCTTTACTAATTGCGACACCATTGTCCTACAACAAACCCATTTGCAATTAGACAAAATTCTTCAATGAAATTCTTCAACAAACACAAAGAGTACACAGGCAAGTAATTATGAGAACACAGAGGAACCTGAGCATGGACATACGATGTCCGGTTGGACGATTCAATTTCCTGAATTTGGTCATTATTGCTCTTGCTCACCGGAGAAATGAGAAAGAGAAGAAGGGAAAATATGGAGATGGAAACGCAGATAGTGTTAAAACCCTGATTTTAGAGGTTTTAGTGAGGATCCAAAACCCGGTCCATTTACAGCTCATTCATTAGTGAAAGCCCAAGCCGGATTTGGACCTTTTTGGTCTATTATTGGAGAGGCAAGTGCACAGATAGCCGATTCTCGACCCCTATTTTAAGAGTCCGGAACTTAAATATTGTATTTTTGGACTCAAAATACATAAATAGATGGGGAAAAAAATTAATGACCAAAATATATAAAACTCAATTTTAAAACGCGTTTTACTTTAACGTCGACAGTTTTATATAGAACGTGGTTTGAAACCACGTTTGCCTCCTCAAAATTATTACCACCATTTTCTGTGGTCCTTTCTTAAAGGGTCCCATTTCCTTCTTCCAATAAACCCTTTTCTCACTACTAAGGTAAATGTGAAAGCAGCAGGAATTGTGATAGAGGAAAAAATTATTCAAAATGACATATATTTACATTAAATTATAAGAGTATCAAATGATTATGCTTCCGTTTGGACATATTTTTGCAAAAAGAATTTTGAAAAAGTTATCTGTTCAAGAAATTTGATTAGTTTTGAAAAAAAAAATTGAAAAAGACATTTCCAGTTCCTAAAAATTATTTGGGCCCTTTTTCGGATGAATGTTTTTCAATAAAATACGTGTTAAAAAACTTCAACTTCCAAAAATATTGTATAATAATTAAATATTTTTATCTTTTATAATAATTCTACTTTAAACTCTCTATATTAATGATATAATTTTATTGATTGAAATATCATGATACATGTACAATCAAAAATTTCAAAAGCCATTTTTTAGAAGCCCTTTTCTCACTACTTTTGTTATTCATGATATTGGTTAGATGAAATGAAATTATATTAGTGTGGTGGGATGACACTTTCATCAGTCAATTTTTGGGTATAAGTATTGAAATTAATAATAAGTTGCTGCAGTATTTGATTTAAAAAGTGTTGATAAGTTCTTTTTCTGTTAAAATGACTTAAAATAACCTTAGAACTGTTTACACTTATAAGGGCGTAATTTCTTCAAAATTTTAGATTCCAGATCGATTCAAATATAAAATATTCTATTTGTTATTTTATTTTAAATACAATTGTGCCTAGATAAGATAATTTTTATGATAAATATAATTTATTTTATGATAAGCATATAATCATAAGTTATAATACTTAATAAATTGACAAAAGTTTCTCAGTAAAAAATAAACCTAAATAGGACAAAATATTTGAAGAGAAACAAACACTGTCTTCATCACCACAACACTTAGAAAGCAATACACCTAAAATTTAATATGTCTTCATTTATTACATATAGTTCAAAGATTAATACACAATCACATAGATATAACTATGCAAAGGAATAGAGAATTTGCTTACTTAAATAGTCAATGAAAATTGCAGACTTGAAGAGGTAGGGGAGGGGGGAAGAGGGGTTTAGGTTGAATACTTGAGGCAGTGAGTATGATGTAAGAGTTTTGTTCTAAAAATAAATATTTTAAGGATAAAATAGTAAAAAAATTTGTCAAATTTAAAGTGCTTATAAGCTAAAAATTCATAAGCTGGGGGTGACCAGCTTATGGTTTTTAGCTTATTTTTAACTTATAAACACTTGACTAATAAGCACTTTTAATTTTACCAAACACGTAAATAAGCCGAAAAGTGCTTATAAGCTAGTTTGACTAGCTTATAAGCTTAGCCAAACACCCTCCAAATATTAATCCTAATATTTAATGTTCTACAATGCATTATTCTTTTGGAGATAAAATAGTCGTATTAAAATTGATAGTATTCAATATTTAGTTTCCAATTATTTGATGTTAAAGAGTCTCCCACTATGGTAGTTTGTAATAAAAAAGCCAATGAAGATTCTTTTTTTCTTTTTTTGCTGTAAGTTTATTTTTTCTTCCATTGTTTTTGTCATCTCTATAAGCCACGTTTTACATAATGTTCAAACCTTTTTGGCAGAAATTAACTAAGATAATAGATGTGGTTGGAAAACGTGGATTCAAATCAAGTTTTATATAAAACGCAGTTTTGAATCACGTTTTACCTTAATATCCCAAACGGACGTTAAGGTAAAACGTGGTTCAAAGCTACATTTTATATATTTTGGTCATTAAGTTTTTTTCCCACTTATTTATGTATTTTGAGTCCAAAAATATAACATTTAGGTTCTGGACTCCCTATTTTAAGGCATAGCCGAAATTTATAAGTTTCTGTTTAGCCATTTCAGAATCAATTTCAAATATATGCGACAAAAGTTGCAAAAATTCGTGTTTGAATTTATAAGTTATATTTGAACTTTGGCATATTTCTTGTGAACTTTGTAGATATTTCTGTCAGAATTTCAGCATACATGACTAAAGTTTGGTTTGGCCGCATTTATGCCTAACTGTTGCCTAAAGTTTTAGATGGAAGATCTAGTAATTTCGATCTTTTTAGGTCCTTTGGACATGTCTGAAATTAACCTTGCCAAATACTAACTTCAGAAATATATTACTGAAGTTTGTCGTTAAAATATTTCCAAATATCGATAATAATAAACTCATCTCTTTACCATTCTCTTTTTTTTTTGTGCGAAAGATAAATTGCATTAAACATAAATAAAGGTATTATTTAACTATTACAAGGACAAATACTATCGATTCTAACATTGTTATCCATCATAGTGTCCCTATTGGGAGCAGTTTCATAAGTGGTGTCACTATTTTTAGCAATAAGCCTATAACAATCAAAAAAAATTTGTGGAGCCAAGGGAGTTCGAACCCAAAACCTCTCACATTAAATTTGAAGGTATCAACCACTAGATTATTAAGCTATTTTGATGCAAGTGGTGTCACTTTTAATGATTTTATTTTGTATTTCTGTTTTATTTATTATTTTTATATACATATGTAGTATAATTTTTCGACGAAGCAGTATCCCGTGATACCGCTCGGGTCCACGTAAATCCGCTCCTGATTGGGAGCATGTAGTTGTTGTCCATGGGCATTTGTTAGAAAAGTGTTGCGATGCATGTCCTCCTCTTGTTGCTGGTGTGTGCATGTTGTCTTCCTAAGACGAATTGCCCCTGCCTGATCCCTTTGCAAAAAGATTCTGACAAAATCCGGAGGCTCTTCAAAAATGGATGTAGTTGTAGTAGAGTTCATGTTGCACCCTGCCTTTGCTAAACCATCAGCCACCTCATTCCCCTCCCTGTAGGTATGTGCAATAGTAGCACTATGCAGTTGGTCCAGGAGGTACCTGCAATCGTAGAGTATATTAGTCTAAAGGATGTAGTCTTTTTCTAATATTGTAAGTACCTCTAATGCATCGATATTTATTTCCACTGGAACCAAATGGTAAGTGTTTGCCAATTCCAGTCCATAGAATAGAGCCTTTAGTTCTGCATGGACGATGGTGGCATTGTCCAAGTTGCCTGCAAAACCTATAACCCAATTTCCATTTGAGTCGCGTATGGTTCCTCATATTCCTGCTTTTTGAGTTAACATTGATACAGCCCTATCCGTATTTAATTTGTAGTAGTTTGGTTTAAGGGGATATCCATTTAATAGGTTGCATTATGGTGACTTTTGGTGTTGCTACCTTTGCAGCTAAATAGGTGAATTCCAGTGCACGATTAGTAATTTGTTTTAAAAATAGGTGATGTGGTATATTATTAAAATTGTGATTGTTACGACTAAGCCAAATGTCCCACAAAGTGTATGAGATGAAAGTTTTGCTATTTATACGGTAATGCATGTTGTTGTACTTTGTATTAATGAGTTTTATTAACCAGACTGATGGTTGAGAGTATTGATTTATGTTATTGATGAATTTTAGTATTCTTAATGCATTCCATATATATTTTATATTAGTACAATCCAGAAATATATGTTAATAGTTTCCGGAGCTGCGTGACAAATTTGGCATTGTTTGTCTAGTGTGATACCTATATGATGTAGGTATTTTTTTGTTGACAACCTGTTATGCATTATGAGCCATAAGAATGTTTTTATCTTCGGAGGTATTTGAAGCTTCCAAATCCAATTATAAGTGGTTGGGGGTTGCTGCAAATTTAAGTCCTGTTGGAGCAATTGTGAATACATTGATTGGACAGTAAATTTACCATTGTTGGATAGTCCCCACGAGATGGTGTCCACTTTATTTGTGTAAATGGGCATATTAATCCTATTGAATTTGGTTTTAAAAGAGTTTGTAACGTTAAAAGATATTTCTGCCCAATTCCAAGTATTATGATGCCTGTAAGTGTTAATAATCCTTGTACTATGTTCCAAAGGTATAGGGCCATGAAGTAAGGATCTTATTGTGGTGTTAGGAGCAATCCATGGCTCCGTCCAGAAATTTATTTTTGAATTTTTGCCTACTTGCCATTGAATGCCAATTTGGTATTTTTCCCAACCTAACATAATATTTTTCCAAATATGTGATGAATTTTGTAGGGTACGTTTGTTTTTATATTTATGAATAAGAGTAACTACCCATAATTGATTAGGAGAGTGGAATAGGCGCCATGATAATCCTGCCAATAGTGCCTCATTTTTTAATTGAAGCCTTTGTATAGCTAGACCTCCTACATTTTTGGGCATGGTAACTTTTTTCCAATTTACCAAGTGAATCTTTCTTTTTTTGTGGAGTAGTTCCCCATAGAAAATTGTGCATGTATTGTTACATTTTGTGAATAATATGTTTAGGAATTGCAATATATTGCATTATGTGATTTGCTAAACTGGATAGTGTTGATTTAATTAGGGTAATTCTCCCTGGGAGTGATAGGAAGTTAGCTTTCCATCCTGCCAGTCTAGCCTTGAAGTTATCTAATAAAAATTGGAAGTCTGATTTATGAGGTTTATTATGAAACATTGGGAAACCTAAATATTTTCCAAATTGTTGCCCTTCATGCATACTAAAGCTGGATAGGATATTAGTTTTTGCTTGAGTGGCACAGTTAGTTGAGAAAAAAATTCTGGACGTGTTGAAGTTTATAGTTTGTCTAGATAGGTTAGTAAATGTGTTAAGGGTATCAATGATTGTGTTGCAACTAGTATCAGTTACCTTAAGGATAATGTCATTTGCAAAAAAGAGATGCGATAGTTGGGGTCCATTTTGTGAAATTTGTATGGGTTTCCATAATAGGTAATCTACTGATTGAAATATATTCCTTGATAGGCGTTCTAAGCACATTATAAATGTATAAGGAGATAAACGATCTCCTTGACGTATTCCCCTAGTTGGCTGAAAAAAATTAGTACGTGATCCATTTATCAATATGGAAATGGAAGATGTTGTAATGCAAGACATGATGAGTGATATGAGATTGTGCGGTACGTTAAAATAGTGGAGTGTATTGTGTATGAATGACATTCAAGTTTATCAAAAGCCTTTTCCAAGTCTAATTTCAGCAACATGTGGCATGTTCGCCCTTTTTTCATATTTTTTAGGCGTTGAAGTATTTCCTGTACCATGATAGCTTTATCTAAGGCTCTGTTTCCCTATTGGAAACTGGATTGTGTGGGGCCAATTATTTTTTGTAAGAAAGGTTTTTGTCTGTTTACAATTATTTTTGTAATTAGTTTGTAATTGTGTTGCATAGGCTTATGGGACGATATTGAGTTATGGCTACTGCAATTTTGATTTTTAGAATTAGGAACAAATAGGTTTTATTAATTTCTTTTGGAATTTTGCTTTCCTTGAAAGCAGTGTCACAACATTTGATAATTGATTGGCTTACTTGTTGCCAATATTTTTGGAAAAAATATGGATGAAGTCCATTCGGCCCTGGTGCCTTAAAAGGTTGAAAGGAGGATAGGGTTTGCTTTATTTCAACCAATTGTAATGGTTGTGCCAGATGTTGTTGATCAGAGTAATTCAAAGAATTAACCATTGTGAATTCGTTAGTTGTTCTATTAGTGAATGAGTGTTGTATTTGGAATAGGGTAGTGTAGTATTGATAAATAGTGTCTTGTATTTCTATTGGATCAAAAGTCCAATGGCCTAAACTATCTTTTAAGGTGTTTATACGATTACGTCTACGTCTCTATAAAGTAGACATATGAAAAAAATTGGTGTTCGCATCACCATCATTTAGCCATTGGATTCTTGATTTTAATTTTTAAAAATCTTTCTCCTGCCTTAGTAAAGCACTAAATTCATGAGTTAGTTGTATTTCTAAGTTTTGTAGGAAATGGCTACTAGGATAGTGAATTGATTTTTGAATGCCATTAATTCTATTTAATATTTTCTATTTTTTTGTGAAAATATTTCCAAAAGTGTCCTTATTCCAATAAGTTACATTATGTTAAAAATTTGTCATAGCTTCAACTAATGAAGAGCTAGTTTGCCATGACTGTTTTATTACATTAATCAGTGTAGGGTTTGTTGTCCAAATTTTTTCAAAGCGAAATATATTATTTCTAGGTAGTTGATTTTGTTCAAGTGTGACTAGAATAGGACAATGGTCTGAATAGGTGCGGGGAAGGTATTGCACTACTGTTTCAGGGAATATTTGAAGCCACTCATAGTTTGCTAGTAGTCTGTCCAGTCTTTCTAGGATAGTATTTCCATTCTTACGTTTATTTCTCCATGTATATCGGCTACCCTTAAACCCTAGGTCTACTAAGTTGCAATAGTTAAGACAATGTGCAAAGGCATCCACCCTTGTGTCATTGATGGGATTACCACCAAAATTTTCATTTGCTCTAATGACCTCTTAAAGTCCCCTCTAACTAACCAGGGACCCTTATAAGAATCATGCTCACATTTTAAATTTTGCCACAATAAGTTGCGTGATGAAGTAGAGTTATTTGCATAAATTGAAGAAAATAACCACTTAGTAGGGTTAGGCCATACCTGTACCATGCAGTGTACCTCCTATGTAGTTATTGCGATCATCCACAGTTACAAAATCTGCATTCCATAGTAAGACTATATCATCCGACATTCCTTGTGCCACAACTTGTGCCATATGTGAGAAGTTAAAATTACTTTTTAAAACCGTGTGATCATGCATGCGTGTCTCCAGTAGTGCAACTAAGACAGGTCTATAGTTATCCAACAGTGATCTAAACTGTTTCTGCATTATTTGAGCCCCTACAATTCTAAACTATTAGATTCATGATAGGTTGTGGGTTGGTGGGTTCATCTAGGTCAGTTATTTCACTCGTTGCTCCCAGTGGTGCCTGAGTGTGCTGCTGTCTTGGAGTGTTCTATCGTAGAGATGGAATTATTACCATGGAGTATTTCCCCTCATGTTGATTTTGATTTGCCCTGAAGTTTACACTGCATGTTGTTAGTTCTGGAGGGCATTTCAGTATGAATTTTTTTGCGTACTGCTCTTTGAGGCTGTAGAGATAGAAGCCCTTTAGCCATATGAACTTTGTTCGTATCTCTCTCATTTCCTCCATAATTTGTGCTAACTCTAACCTTGTTTGCTCTCCTAGTTCGTTGGGCGATGGAGATGGAGTTATTGGAGGACTCAAGAATGGTAACATTGGCTCCTAGGTGCTCGTGGGAGACAGACTCAATTGTGGTAGAGAGAAGGAATTCATGTGTTGAAACCATGGGGCATAGATCATCCCCGTGTGGTGTTGTGGGTAGAATGGCAGAGTCCCCAGGATTTGATGGAAACTGTGAAGTAGAGGAGTGATAGGGTGTGCCCATAGTGACTGTGTTGATGATGAGGCCCTGTTCTGGTCCAACATCAGTGGTGTGTGAATGTTGGACCATTATGTCTGGGCTACTGCCTCCATCCCTAGTCTCATCTCTTCTGTGACAATCTCCGCTAGATGAGTTGGATTTTGAACTAGTAAGATGATCTCTTGATTGTTGAGTTCCATTGTGAATATTAGAGAGTAGCCTTGGAGCCCCATCTCTAACCACGACTGGAGTGGGTATTTCCAGTGGTGGTGTTTGGGAGCTGTAAAGACAAGAGGGGTTGCTCTGATGGTAAGCAACCTCCACTTCCAACCACGAGGTTGTGAGTTCGAGTCTCCCCAAGAGCAAGGTGGGAAGTTCTTGGAGGGAAGGATGCCGGGGGTCTATTTGGAAACAGCCTCTCTACCCTAGGGTAGGGGTATGGTCTGCGTACACACTACCCTCCCCAGACCCCACTAAGTGGGATTATACTGGGTTGTTGTTGTTGTTGTGTTTGGGAGCTGTATATCAGTGGTGTGGTGGGGTTTGGATGAGGTGGTCCGCTCATGATCAAGCGTGGGAAGTGGAAGTATTGGTGGTTGAGTTGGTGGTTTTACTTGAATGTTGTGTACCAAGGTCTTTTCATGGTGGATAGTTGTGCTTGTGTGTGTTATATTATGGTCTGGCAGTGTGTGGTGTAGTGGAGTAAGAGGGGGTGTATGTTGATTTACAGTAGGAGTAGAAACGAATTCATTTTGTGCAGTAGGTATAGGGTTTAGTGTAGATGATGGAGGATCACATGGAGGGTGATGATTATGTGGCATCGTAGGTAGAGAAGAGTGTAGTTTGGCCGATGAAGGTAAATCTAGGATTGTGTAGGGTTGGGTGGCATGCATAGAGACAGATTGCAAATGTTCTAAGATAGATTTTGTGAAGATTTTGTCAGGGTCTTCATATGAGGTATCGTGTTTAGGAGTATGAATGGGTTTTGATGAGCCAACTCTATTGGCTATCGTGGGGTATTGTGTTGAGAAATTAGTTTCCATTAGGTCATCCGTATGTGATTCATTACCCTTAATAAAATTATCATTGTAATTTAATTTATTTTCCGGCTTAGTATGATTTTTATTTAAGTGCTTATTAGAGTTATCAAGGCTTATAGAAATATTATTAAAAGGGTAGTCCTTAACCGCTTCTACTTGTTTTTGGCCCATTATTACATTTGTAACCTTGTTGGACTCATGGGGTCATTGCATGCTTGTGTTGTAGGCCCAGTCCCTTTTTGTTCAGTGTTAGAGGGTGAGTCCATATTTTCTAATCTGCTAAAATTGTCGACAATCAATAGCGGATTAGGGTTTGTAAACTTACCTGGTGTTACCTGTGTGATTGTCATGTCCACCGCCTTCCCTTTTCTTATCTGGTCAGCCAATTGGAGATTATGGGGTTCATCTGTTTGGTTACGCTGGTTGTATTTGTTGTATCTTGCATTAGTTCTTTTTGGAAAACTAACAGTCTTCCATTCTGATTTCTTTGTTGAAGGGATGAATGTTGTAGAAGAGGGATGTGATGTATTGGTAGGTGTAGTTGGTATGGAATTTAGGGGTGGTGTTTGAAAAAATTGATAACTCCAACTTGCGTGCCCAAATCTTCCACACCTTGTACAGAGTATGTTTAACCCTTCATAGAGTAGAACCTGTTTGTGAGTGCCTATATGGACATGGGTTTTGAGAGGTTTTTCCAAGGGCACCTCAATGCATATTCGGGCATACCTCCCTTGTAATAGAAGTTGAAGCAATAAACTTAGGCTCCCAGCGACGAACATAGAGGAAATGGTTAAGTATGAACCAAGACCCTTCATGTAAAGTCTTATACATATTTTCCTCATAATGAAATTTGATAAGGAAAAAATTGCATCCCAAATCTATAAGATGAATTTCTTCCGTTGGTTTTCAAAGATTTGTTAGCTTAACTTTTAGCTGTTGATGTCCAACTATTTTACCAAAAACTTTGACAATAATAAAATTTTACCAAAGAGTGTATAATAAAGTTTTGTCTTCAGTTGTTAAAGGGATAAAATTGTCTAAATCATCTTCATTTGAATTTTCATCAGTTAAGTCGACTGTGGCGTTGATGGATTGGGTGTTTGAAATGTATGTTGGTAGATGGGAATTTGATGTTAGTGTCTGAAGAAATGATTTGGTTTGTGATTGGATTTCTAGTTTGTCAATTTGCATGTGATTGGGAATTGGTGGATCCATTGTTATTGCTAGCTAATGAAACCGTATAGATGTAGAATGGGAGTTGGGGTAGAGAGCATTTTTCTTTCCACTCCTTTTCCTCTTTACCATTCTTACAACGTATGCTACTACATTTCTTGTAATTTCTCTTATAGTTTTTTATTCCAGCAAACAACTTTACTATATTAAATAATAATAGCTCTCAAAAAGTCAAAGGATGCAACAATATTGTTTACAATCCAGCTAGGAAAAGTAAAACACAAGTAATTCAATGTAATAGTGAGATAGAAAACTTAGCTAAATTATGTGCTAAGACATTCCAAGATCTAGGAATATACACACTATTTATATTTTCAAAGGAATTCATCATCTTTCAGATATCTTCACAAGTAGTCTCTATCTCCCATGAGACCACCATCTTTTTTCTTATCATATCCACCACATTTTTTGATTCTGGTAGAATATGCACCTCTGGCCATCCATTTTCTATAGCTTTTTTCAAAGCTTCACAAATTGCTAGTGCCAGCAATAATGGATTTTCCAACAAATTGAATTGGGATGACAAAGGCTTGAAGTAAATGACCACAACTATCCATAGCCGCCACTCATATGCTTGCCATCTTCTTTTCCAATTGTAACCCAATATCGACAAACATAACAATACCATCTTATGGCACAGTAATATATTTTTTATCAGAAACAGTAAGATATGTGGGAAGGAGAAGAGATAGTAAATATTTTCATCAGGTTCACATATATCCCCATTAAAATTCAACAAATTTTTAGCCTTCCAAATTTGTCACATGATTGAAATATTTAGTTTAACAATTTCAATAGATTCAGAATATTTATTAGCATTAATAAAAATATCATACCACCACGCAGCAAAATCTAAAGATTTTTTAAGTTAGGCAATTAATAGGACTCAATTTCCAAACTAACTGAGCTTTATGACATCTAAAGGGCATATGATCAATAGTTTTATTTTCTAAGCCACATATCTTACATACGTGATTCAAATATTTAGAAATAGTACAATTAATAGGTAGCACATTCAAAATACATTTTCTAATAAATATTTATATTGTTTCTTAATGTTTAGGGACCATAAGAATTCCCCAAAAGCTTTTGAAAAAGAGTGATGACTAAATTGGGGTCTAGCATTGTTAACCTACCTACATCTTACAATTTGTTTAGCTAAATGATAACCCTATTTAACCTCATAATAATAATTCTATCCAAAGAGCACGTAGTTGAGATGAGGATAGATAAAATTGCATGAATATCATCAATACAAAACAAATTCTGAAGATCTTGCAACTTCCATGTAACGACCCGACTGGTCATTTTGCTTTCTAGAACCCCGTTCCCCTAAATAAGACTTTTTGTACTTGCTTTTACTGATTTATGACTTGCGGGGATGGCTGGTTCGGGATTTGAAAGAGTTTGGGTTGAAATCGGAACACTTGGTTTCTTAAGGTTGGCTTAAAAGACCAAGTTTGACTTTGGTCAATATTTTGAGTAAATGACCTCGGAATCGGAATTTGATGGTTCCAGTAGTTTTGTATGATAATTTCGTACTTGGGCGTATGTCCGGATTGGATTTTGGATGACTCGTGAGTATTTTCGTGCCTAATAGTGAAAGTTGGTTCTTGAAGGTTTTTAGAAGTTCTTTAAATTTGGTTTGGAGCGGGGTTTGGTGATATTGAGGTATAAACAGAATTCCGAGATCGGGAATAGTTCCATAATATTATTTAAGACTTGCACGCAAAATTTGATATCATTCCGAGTAGTATAAGTACGTTTCGGCATATTGAAAGTAGATTGAAGAACTTGAAGTTCATAAGTTTGATTCAATGGGTTTTAGGGTATGATTCTGAGTTTTAATGTTGTTTCGGGCATTCCGAGGGTTCGAGCGAGTCCATTTTATGATTCTAAACTTGTTGGTATGTTCGGGCCGGGCCCTGGGGTCCCCGAGCGTCAATCGGTCGTGTGATAACCCAAAAGGTCATCTCGTGTTTTAGAACCTAATACGGGGTTCTGAGGCCTTCAAGACCTTATTTTCTTTCTCCTCGATTTGCATGCGTAGTCCGAGCGCGCTTCCGAAAAGCCCTTATGTGAAAATTTGAGAATATGCTAATTTTGCCTTTAAAATTAAATTTAAGTTGACTTTGGTCAACATTTTGGGCAAACGGAACCGGATCCATGATTTAACGGTCTTAAAGGGTCCGTAGAAAAATATGAGACTTGGGCGTATGCGCGCAATTGAATTTGAGGTCTCTATCCCGAGGAATGAATTTTTGAAGAAAATTATTTAACTGAAGAATATAAGACTTTTTGGAAATTTAGCGATGTTTGAATTTGATGATATCGGACCCGTATTTTGGTTCTGAAGCCTGGTACATGTGTAATATGGTATTTAAGTTGTGTTTGTAAAATTTGGTAAGAAATGAAATTCATATGACGTGATTCGGACCTTCGGTTGTGAAAATAATAACTTTAGGTGTTCTTGAGAATTTCATTGATTTTGATGCTAAATTCGCAGTTGTTGATGTTATTTTGATGATTGATGTTATTTTGATGATTTGACAATACGAGCACGTCCGTATGATTTTTTTGGACTTGCGTGCATGTTTGTTTGGAGCCTCGAGGGTTCGGGTGAGTTTTGGATAGGCCACTGAGTGTTTTGAGACTTAAAGGAAATAACTGTTGTGTTGCAAATCTGCAGACTTCGCATTTGCGAATTCTGGCTCGCAAATGCAAGCATCGCATTTGCGAAGATCCATCGCAATTGCGATGAGAGTGCAGGGAGGGGGACCTTCACATTTGCGAAGTTCAACGTCGCAATTGCGACTTCAACAGTCACCGCATTTGCGAAGTTAGGAGCCCGGGCCAAGCTTCACATTTGCGAACCTGGTATCGCAAATGCGATAATTGAGACTGTGTAAATTATAACTTAGACGGGATTTCAACTCATTCTTTCAAATTTTGAAACCCTAAGCTCCCATAGGCGATTTTCCAAAGAAAAGTTCTTCCCCAAACCATAGGTAAACAACTCTTAACTCATTTCTTTCAGTCTACTTCATCTTTTTACAAGATTTCATCATAAAATCTAGGGATTTTCATGAGAAATTGGGTGTTTTTGGGTGAAATTTGGGAATTTCAAAATTTGGGGATTTATACCTCAATTGAGGTCGGATTCCAAAACTAATTACATATTCGGGATCATAGGTGAATGGGTAATTGGGTTTTGGTTCGAACCTCGAGTTTTGACCAAGTAGGCCCAGGATCAATTTTTGACTTTTGGGGAAAATGATAGAAAATCTATAGTTAAGCATTGGAGTTGAATTCTTAAGCATTTATTGATATTGTTAAGTTAATTATGGTTAGATACAAGTGAATTGGAAGTGGAAGTTAAAGGGAAAGTGGTATTTGAGGCTTGAGTTTGGCTGTGGAATTGGAGGTAAGTGTTTGGTCTAACCTTAGCTTGATGGAATAGGTGTTGTGTCTTATTTGCTACGTGTTAGCGTTGTGCACGACGTATAGGTGTAGTGACGGGTATCTATACATTGGTGTCAAGCATGCCTGTGAGTCTTATACTGTGATCGTTGCGGTTCATATTATGTACTATCTATGCCTAAATTGATGATTATCCGTGTTGAAAAGACTTATGATATTTTCTTGGTATTTGTCCATTATTGAGTATTGGCCCAAGTGGAGACTTATTTTGTGAAGTTAATTGTTAGAACGAGATTGGTTATAGTTGATTCCCTTGCCGGGATGTATTTACTTCTGTTGTTGATTCCCTTGACGGGATGTATTTATTTCTATTGTTGATTCCCTTGCCGGGATGTTGTTGTTTCTACTGTTTGGGTGAGTAAAGAGCAATAAAGTATGAAGCTGATGCAGTGCACATTTATACTTATACATATGGTGAGGAAGAGTGATAAAGCACGAAGAGTGATGCCGTGCACATTTACATTTATATTGATGCATATGGTGAGGAAGAGAGATAAAGCACGAAGGGTGATGCCGTGCACATTTCTAATATTCATATGGTGAGGAAGAGTGATAAAGCACAAAGGGTGATGTCGTGCACATTTTCATTATTGATTGCATGGTGAGGATTGAGAGTAAAAGCACGAAGGGTGATATCGTGCATTCATTTTCCGTTTGCTGTGATTAATTGTTGTTATCGGATCAAGTGCCTTAATTATTTCGTTTTGTTACTTCTGTGTTTCCTTATTCTGGAATCCCCCATAGCATGTTGCCCCTTCCCGTTAATTTCTATTTAGCTTCTATTATTGTTATTTTGTTTGATATTATTTAATTGCACAGGTTATGATGTTTGTTTTGTCCTAGTCTCGTCACTACTTCGCTGAGGTTAGGCTCGACACTTACTAGTACATGGGGTCGGTTGTACTGATGCTACACTTTGTACTTTTGTGAAGATCCCGGTACTGGACCTTACGAACCGTAGTTCGAGGTTGCTGCCTTCAGTCCAGTGGAGACCCGAGGTAGTCCTGCATGCGTCCGCATTCCTTGGTATCCCCTTCTATCCTGCTTCTTGTCTGTTTTATCTATTTCTGAGACAAATTTGTATTTCTTTGTCCACTATTTGTAGTATTCATAGACAGTCCGTGAGATTGTGACACCAGTTCTGGGTGGAGTTTTATTATAGTTTCGTGATTGTACTAAGTTAAATTGTTAAATTCCATTCTTCCGCATTTTAT